GGCCTTCTGAATTGAGAATGCTACACATAAAACAGACCCATTATAGAGATATGTGTATAAAAAGTCGCTAAATATAGCAACAAAAACGCTAAGTTGCATATGCACAAATAAGGAATAGTTGTATTAACCACACATGTAAACCAGAACAAGTGAGCAAAGCGTGGAGCGACTGTTGGAGTGGAGCAGAAGATATATGGTTGATCGCAGAGTTTTCAATTCAAAGGCCAGAGCGAGGATTTTGCTCTGCTCCAGTTCGCTCCGTCAATTAAAAATGTTGGATTATAAAATTTGTAAAATAACATTTGTTTGATTGATTGATTGACTTAAATCATAGGCCAATGCCAATGCTGTAGTATCTGTCCATAATCTGTAATAGTCTATGTTTCTACTTTACCACAGAATCGGCGAGAAGAGGATTGCATATTGTGTGATAAAAAGTGGAATAAAATATCATAAAAACATACACTAACCATACTTAACAATACAGAGTGGGTTTTCATAAAATGATCGTTGTGGTTAGAGCCTGTTTTTGAAAATGGATCGCATACATGCATTATAGGCTATTATCTCATTTGCAAAGGGATGCGAAGTGACCTTTTTTATGTAGTCTAGTAAAATGAATGAATAATTAAATATTAAAGGCGGCGCAACATGAATGGAGCAAGGCGTTACGTTCACAGCTGGAAACGATAATTTAACAGCCAGTTAAATAAGATGTACACATGTATAGGTCACATCATTGAATCAGACGCTGGGTGTCCCAGGCATAATTACATGAAAGAAAAATGTCAGAAAATGCCTCCTCCTGAAAATTTTAGCAAGCCTGAAACAATTTTGCACCAGCGGCAGCAAAATTAAGGTGAGTGCGAAGCGTCCTGGATCAACTTTGAGTGGCAGAGCAAACATCCTCCAGAGCGGGGAGCAGGAATTGTGCGGCACTCCGCTCAATTCACATGCTGTGATGTAAACAGAATTTTACATGATCACTATCAGTAGCTAATGCTAAGGAAGTGTCTTGCCCAAGGACATATAGAAACTGAAAGCCAGAGCTGGGGCTTGAACAGACAACCCTCTGGTTGCAGGGCAAAATCCCCCAGCCTACTCCACTGTTGCCCTTTATCTAAAAGAGTAACTGCTGGAATTCTGATATGATTAAATCTGACATCCAGAAATCATGAAACAGGGTTTAATAAAAATTTGGGTATTAATAAAATCATATCTAAGGCATGAAGTACACTTCATACAATGTTCTCTAGATTAATTAAATGCATCACTTGTCTCTACAAGTTGATTACTGTTTGATTTGCTAAGACTGCCTCAGATTTCCTCTGTAATTACAGCAAATGAGACAATTTACTGTACTAGGGCAGCATTGATTTGAAGAATCAAGTCGTATTGTCTCCCCACTTAGTTTGGGTTTTAGATTTTCTCTCTTGAAAAGAAAGGCTTCAGTTATTTCATCACCTCTCGTTTTTTCCTAAATTGTAAGAGCTAACAAACAGCATTACACAAAAAAGCAAAAAGGGATAAAAGGAAAAAGATGGGATTAATAATACCAAGGTTGGCACAATATTCTTCATGTTTTGTTTCTATCTCGAATACCCTGAGTGAGTGCTGAGAGTGGGTTGGTATGCAACCGCACGCAGTAAAATCACTTCTACCCATCAGGACTTTACTCCATTGAATGTCTAAAGAGGTCATGCAGTCAGGGGACCATGCAAAAATACAGCAAGATATTTACTACAGAAATGTAATAAAAAATGAGTGGAGAATCTGCAATCTAATCTAATATTGTCTAGAAATTTTTATATTTATATAGGCAGTTATAACAAAGCTGTATTGCAAAACGTTCTCGTCTTGTAGGACAGCTTCCCTTTACAGTTTTCCTTAGATAGAAAACTTTGTATCGATTTGACTGTAGGATCTGGTTGAACTATAAAGTGCCTTGAGATGACATGTGTTGGGAATTTGGCGCTATATAAATAAACTGAATTGAAATTGAATTAATGTACCTGCTAGCTTACAAACTATAGGGGTAGAATGACTGGTCAAAGCAGATAAAGGGGCCGCTAATGTTGAAAGGTTCTTAAAAAAGCAACGCTAGAACTAGGGTGGCCATTTCTATAGCACCAAAAAGGAGGACATTGTGCGGCATATCAATAAATTACTAAAGTGTACATAAGAATCGGTTAAAGTTACATTTTTACTACAATTCTTCGTAGTTTATAGAGGATGCTTCTGTAGCTGAATAGAACAGAATATTAAAGAAATGTAAAAAAGAATGTATTTATTTAATACATTGTTTTGAGCACCGAGATGAATCTTTAAAGTGCAGAATACCACAAAGCATAAGATGTGTGGACTTAAACATAAAAAAATCTTTTTAACAAGAAACATTCATAATAAAATAGCCTAATATTTGTTTAAACAACAAAAGAGATTGTAGAAAACACATTCAACTGCTCTAAAAGTATAGCTTTATTTCTAAGAGCCTCAGTCTTTTGGGAACTTATCTTAAGTGTCTGTGTGTGCAGCAGACGTGTCTTTATGGTCATCCCTTTAGCTATGGGCGAATCACTGAAATCCACTTTCACGTCACAGTCTACACTTCTGTAGGACTAGTGATGTTTTATAGTATAGTCCACCTTGCAGCTCTGCACAAGTTATTTTAGCATCCAGGGGCGACAAAACTTAATGTAAAAGCCAACATTGAAGAGTTTGCTGCCGCACGTTTATTAATTTTATGTTAATCTGTACTTGCACGCCGTTCAATTGCAGCTTTTCCTCGACTGCTTACGCCAATATCGCATAAACAAAGTGGCAGAAACCATGGAATGAATCTCCACTACCGTTTGTCATAAATTCACACTCTTTTGTCCATTCTGGGTTAAATTCCTGGTTTTGACAGGACACTAACATTAATACTTAGCATCAGTAATTCTGATCCTTGTTTACTTTTGTAACCAATGACAAGCAGATCTTTATTTGACACGCTGCCACTCTTAGCCAATCATATGTTAGATCAGATAGTGATGCATTTTTGATTATTGGATATTGTGCTGCAGCCCAGCAAAAAAATAAAAATAAAAATCTGCTCTACAAGCCTAGTGCCTCATAAAGGAGGACAAATACACATCCGGCTAGATGCGGCGCCTGACGTCAGTGTAATGATCCAGTCAGAAGACTTTTCAGACAGTGCAATGAAAATCCGGACTGTCCGCCCTAAAGCCGGACCTGTGGCCACCATAACTAGAACCCTGCCATCCCAAGGAACCAACAGGCCCTCTTCTATTGGAAAGAAGTCAGAAATAAACTACCTTTGCATCCACAGGTTGTTGACCAGGATAGATAATGGCACTTTTTCAAAACTCACACTTTGAAAGATTGATGATCAGTGCGGGTAAGGGGTGGGCATCAATGACTGTAACCTTGGGCTTCCACCAGCTTCTATGCTCAGTAAACATGAAGAACTCCATGGGCTACAACTTGGAATGCAAAAAACATTTTAATCAGACACTCTACTTCCTGTTTCATAACTTCCCTTTTTGTTGGACAGACAACATATGCTCGTTGTTATATAGGTGCCTTAGTCACTTTGGACAACTTTGGGAAGACCAAACACTGAAAAAAATTTCACCAGTGCTTTTGTTATAACCGGAGTAGTGATTGTCCGCTGGGTCATGGCCTCTGGACACCTGGTAGTTTCCCATAAGTAAAATTGTTTGAAGGTCAGGAAAATGATGGTGTGACATAGTAGTGCAATGTGTTGTTTTCCTTCATTGGATTGTGGTAACACATTAGCAGACTGCTTTAGCTCAGCAGCTGGCATCACTACATTCATCTGATCCTTCTAACCAACCCTCAAATCCTACATCCTCTGTAACCAGCCCCTTCCGCTCCATCCCGCTTCACTCCAGACCGCCTGCACAAATCAAAGCCTACAGCCTCCACTGTTGCTCCCATCCTGCTCAGCTCTTACTTCCTTGGAGCATGCAAAATATTATTATTATCATTAAATTCATAGGAGCAAAATTTATGGAAATAAATTATTAATTTAAAATTACACATTAAAAAAATCCCCATCAGCATCCAGCATATGTGCAGTTTCTGCCCAAATATTTATTTTTTTGTTGTGGATTTTTTTTAACAGGGATAACAAGGATCATATATGGGTTTTATGAACTATGCTTGTTCTCTACTTCCAAAGTCAGCATCTCTACATCCATCCCTGTAATAAGAAGTTTGTTTTGAAGCTGTCAGATTCAGTCTTGGAAATTTTGACTGGATTTGATTAAACGTTTAAACCTCTTGGTATAAAATAGGTATTTTGATGGAGATGAGAAATCAGCTTCCTGGTTTGTTGAAGTACCAAAAGTTTGCATCCAATCATTTAATTATTCAGTCTTAGTTTTTGGGAATATATAAGTATTATGCTGTAATTTGTCCAAATCTGTCGTTAGTATATTAATTAATTAACAAACCGGATTTTTTCAATGTTCTCTTTTGTGGTTGGTGTGATTGTAATCGCGGATCTTTACCTGGCCGGACTGGAACAGAGCAAAATGTAGCTCGGCTCTGTGTTTTGACAGTGATGGACGGAGAAGTAATACATGAATAGTGACGTGCGGAGGAGTAGCGGTGGATGTGGAGCAGTTCTCATTGATTAAAATGATGGACAAGTACTCCGAATGCCGTACGTGAGATGGGCGGGGCGGAAACCAAGGATGTGGAATCTGGGATTAATTACATGGGCTTACATCAAAGCCAAGTCCATCCAATCTTCAGTCTTTGTTCTGCTGAATAAACATTCAGAAGTTATCATATAGGTTTTTCTGTTTTTCTCAGATGTTCTAACTACTCTAATAAATCTGCTTATAACCTTGAAATGTTTGAGTGATATTATTTTTATCCAAGCTCTAGAAACTAAAGGAGGGTGTGCTTTCTTTTCCTATTTCTTAAAATGTTTCTGTTTTTTTTTTTTTTTTTTTTTTTTCCCTCAGTTACTTCATCCTGAACAAGCGGACTGGGTTTCTCATCATCAAGGAAAACACCCCTCCTGGCACCTACCAGTTCCAGGTCCGCGTGTCAGATGGAATTTGGCCTGACGCCGTCTCCACCGTTAGCGTCCACGTCAGAGAGCTGCGAGACGAGGCTATCTACAACTCAGGGTCCCTTCGCCTGGCAGGTAAGGTGGACCCCCCTAAACCCTCTCAGTTCCTTCCACCTCTGGTATGACTGGCAGCTACAGTCCTCACTGAAGACACCTTAACACATCTTGGAAACATAGGCTGTTTCTCAATTCACAAGAACGTGAGTACGGACTAATATCCTCACCAACTATGTTCTTGAGAAGGACACAGGAAAGTATGGGAGAATGGGAGAATGCAGCATAAATATGGGTCAATTGCAGTGTTGCCAACTCAGCGACTTTGTCGCTATATTTAGCGACTTTTCAGACCCCTCCAGCGACAAATTTTCAAAAAAGCGACTAGCAACAAATCTGGCGACTTTTTACGGTGTCACTGGCGGCTTTTGGAGACTTTTACGTAAAAGCATGTATCGTTCCTACTTTTGTCCTCCAGTGGCAACTGCTGCCGTGGGGCGCCTCCCCCATCCCAACCCCATTCTCCGGCTCCCACAGGAGTCCCTCTCAGCGCTGCAGTCAGAGCCGCAGGATGTTTACCCTCAGCGTCCAGACTGCAAATGAAGCGCGCATGCGCCGGGATTGACGGCGCAAATTGATCACGCGGTGCCGCTCCACCCTGACTTACATTCAAGGCGGGAGCGAGCGGGATGTAAATGTAACATGTTATTTGGTCGAAAATAAATAACTGAATTTGAAATATTTTATCTTAAATAAATAACAGCATTTGATTCACACAGCCACAGACAGTCACTTAATCACCTTGTCCATTGTGTGAGTAAAAACACTGTTATATAGTATTTTTACTCACTTTTTTTGTCTTTCTGTACCGACATTATTTTTCCCACAGCATCAATAACATGCACATCACTTCCTGTGGCAGATTATGCAAATTAAGCGATTACGTCATTTAGCGACTTTTAGCACTGCCAATAGCTACTTTCCTTACTGAGGAGTTGGCCACACTGGTCAATTGGAACAGAAGCGTACTCATGACGTTACAACACCCTGGGCTTATCTGGAGCTGCATTTCACCTCCTGTTATTACTGTTTTCTAGATAATAATAATTTCTTACTGTTTCATTTAGTGGGGGAATAATAATGAACACAGTCAGATAAACATAAATCACATGAACATTTTGCCAAATAAAACAAAAAACCTCCATCAGAGCCTATGCAGAGAGAGGGCTGCCGCAGACCGCCTAAAGTTAGCCCTGGCTGCCGTTAGCCTCGGAGGTCTGCTGGTTGCCACAGTCCTCTCATCATCAGATCATTTTTTTAAATTATGCACTATATCAGTAAATAGGCCATATAGTGAGGCTTAAAGGTATGCTTTCGCCTCAAATTATCTTAGAGAATTGGCTGTTCCAACCTTTGCATTTCCAAATTCTCCCCTAGTTATGCCTGACTTTACACTAGTGAATACAGTTAATATGATTGGTCGTTTATCAAGGGGGCGGCATTGTCATGGCGGAAGGTTCACAAGCAAGCTTGGTTGTGAGCTTGTTTTTTTTTAACATTTATATACATGTTTAAGCCAGAATTATTTGAAATTTGAATATGACTTTCCTACGACTTTAAACATACTTTTATAGAACTACGGCAACAGAAAAGAGAATTTTTAACTTAATACTCTGAGCTCTGTGAGCCCTAACCTGGACCCTGCTGCTACTGCAGTGCATGCTGGGACAGCTGTCAGTCTCAAGAATGGACAAGTCTGCGCTGATGCATCCTGGGTAAAAATGGAGGGGCGAAAAGAACATCTGGGGACTTAAACTGTTCTTGTTCTTGTGAATTGGAACAGTGCTAGGGCTGAGGCTGATAATGTTTTTCGAGCACATGAGAACGCACAAGTACACATATTGGGAAACGGCCACTATCTGGAATTGTATTGATGTACTGTAAGACATTTCCATCCGTTAAGGCAGGGGTCGGCAATCCAAACTGTTCAAAGAGCCATATTGGAGCATAAAACAAATCTGTCTGGACACGCAAAAATGTAAAAAGTTTTTTACAGTATAAGCCTCATATGGCAACATGGGCTCTAAGCGTATTAGCCCACAATAAAAAGGACTATGTGGGATTAAATATGTAAAAAGCATTTATGATTAATATTTATCAAGAAATAAATTTCACATCATGTGACTACTCTGCTGCATGATATTTGGTGCTTTAAGTTTAAATTCCATTCAAATATTAATGTATTAGGTTTTGTAGCATTGATGAAACTATAGAAACATAATAAAGAAATCTGATTTTTTTTTTTTTTTTTAGATTTTTGTTATTTTTATTTTGAGGATTTGGGGAAAAAAATGAAAGAAAGTTCACATACCTGCATCAGAGCACTACCTGTTCGATCTGTGAACGGTTTTCTATGCTTGCAGCAAAACTAGCAGCAGCAGTGGAGTTTAGAGATGCAATCCACTTCTTCAATTTATTTCTGCTCTTATTTATCCAGAAGTTCTGCAATCGCACTTTTTTTCTCACTCCCAAAATGGTGGTCAGCTGCATATTTAACATGCCTTTCCTGGAAAAGCCTTTGGTCCGTTCTTCTTTCCCCCAAAACACATCATTTCAAATCTGGTCGGGCCATCATAGTCTTGATTAAGCCTAGAAATAGTTGTTTAAAACTGGGCTGTGTTTTGTTGCTCTGATTTTTCTCCCTCTATACTCCAATAATCAATGTTGAAGAGGCGTTGCAAAGCCAGCTTTTAACGCCTTTTTAACAATCTGAAAATTATGACTTTTCACCTTTTACTTTTCAACCAAATCTAGACATTAGCCTGGCACCGCACAGCACCGTGCCGCAGGCTATGACATAAATCTTTGTTGACAGAAATGTTTACCTTTATTGTTTAAATGTATTTATCATACACATTTTTACAGAATTGGAAAACACAATGAATGTCTGTTTGCCCTCCTGCACATCATATTAAAACAAACAAAAAAATCCATCTTTTCTCATTTTCATACCTTTTTTGAAAATGCTCAAGGTAGATGCAAGGGGGGGCATTAAAGAGACACATGGCTCTGGAGTAGCTGACACCTGGATTACAGGCATTGCAAAAAAAAAAAAAAACTTTGGTGGGTGGAGACTCTCAGTCAGTCCAGAAGGTTCTGCTGAAAGTCCCCTTAGGAAGAACATGGATGTTTGTGTTTTTAGCGTCAAAAGACCTTTAAACCATTTCAAGGGTCTGAAAACTGAAGTTTTTGGTAAAATGCAACATTAACTACGGGACCTGTTTGGAAAACAAGGCCTGCTGGTAGCTTCATCTGGTCTGTTCCTGATTGACTGTGACATCATCCTGGAGAGAAATATCAGCTGTGCTGCTGCCATCAACATCTTTGTTTATAGATGTTGGAGATTGGGTTGTTTTTCAGTGTAGTCCTGTTTCTCTGACTGTGACTGACTGGATGTGCTCTCTTCCATCCTCTGACATGGGAGCTGGCTCAGAGCACGTCTGCCTGGCTGGGTGTTTCCTGGACGGGGCCGTGTGTGGAGCTGGTTTGCAGCTGCTTTTTGCATCTCTGCTTCTGTCTTCTTCTGTCGGCCTCAGCAGATGGCCGCTCACACTGAGTCTGGTTCTGCTGCAGGTTTCTTCCTGTTAAAAGGGAGTTTTTCCTCTCAATTATCGCTATAAGCATGCTTAGTATGAGGGTTTGCCTTTGAGTCAATGAGTCGATGCAATGAGTTGTTTTTTTCTCAGTTAGAAAACATTGAATGAATTTGACTGCATGATCTGGTTTAATTATAAAGTGCCTTGAGATGACACGTGTTGTGATTTGGCGCTATATAAACTAAATTGAAATTGAATTGGTACCGAGTCGTTATCTGGTCTCAGGCTACAGAATAGTACTAACTGCGGTTTGCATCCTCAGCTGCAACGTTTCAAAGTACAGAGAGGGATTTTTTTCCAGCCTGGTTATTAATTCCTCTCTCCTGACTCATGGGATATCAGCTGCTGTCGGCTCACACTCAGAAAAGCCTCTTTTCATTACTTATGCTTGCAAAATAATTAGTTGTGGATTTGCTCGGCTTGCACATTTCCCTCACATGATGAACAGCGTCCATCATTACCTGATGAAAAGCGCATCTCTCTCTGCCTAGAATTAAATTCGCTTTAGAGAAAGAGGACATGGCTGAAGGGTTTTTATGATTTCAGAGAAGGCATTAAAGAGGAGACGGAGAGGGTGGATGATGCTCTGGGAAGGCGAGAGCAGATAGAAAAGATTTCTTCATGTTCGGAAAACAAGAGGAAGAGCTTTATTCAACCTGAGACGGCGATGTGAAACGCTAAACACGTCAAAACAGAGTCAAATAATCCATGTGCTAAAAGGCTGCAGTAGAGTCAAAGGTTTATGTTTCCACCGTTTAATTTGCTCCCATCCAGCCAATCAGCAGCCAATCCCTGGCCTCTTTCAGCGCCACTGCTAGTAATGCAATTCTTATTTCAGGCCTTCATTGGTCATTGGACCGTTCTGTTGCAGGTGAGAGGCTCAGAGTGTCAGACATGTTTGGTCTGCAAAGAGAAAACTGTTTAAACTCCAGTTACCAGTTCAGAAAAATGGAAAAGTTGCCCTTAAAAAGCAGAATGTTGGAGTTGAAGGAAAAGTCTGGTCACATTCAGAATACAAAGTTGTGAAAGTACTTAAAGTATGAAATTATTACCTACTTTTCAATAAATAAGTGTTTTTAATTCAGAGTAATTTTCATTTGAATGTGCTTTACTGGAGTTTGTCAAAGACCACTACTGCCACCTACTGGTTTGTGACGTCACGGTACGGTATTGGCTGTTGATCAAGTCCCAGTGCTGTATCTGGTGTTTGTCACAACGCGCTATTATCCAAGTCATCTTGAAAACATTCTTCTTCCAAATGTTGGCTACATATTACGTGTTTTTTCTCTGGCCAGAAGTTTGATGGCAAATCCTCCCTCTTCAAGTTGGCAATCCAACAACGAACCCGTCCGTGGAGGATCAGGAATCGGAAAAGTTAAATAACTCTTTTTTTCACATCTTACCAGATGTATTCCAACATCCAAC